GAGAGAGAGAGAGAGAGAGAGAGAGAGAGAGAGAGAGAGAGAGAGAGAGAGAGAGAGAGAGAGAGAGAGAGAGAGAGAGAGAGAGAGAGACGCCATTTTAGCAGCACAAACCCCGGCGAAAAAGTGGCGAGCTTCGTGCTACGAGCATTTAGCGGCTCCCTCCCTCTCTCTCTCTCTCTCACGCTCGCCTCCACACCCTGATTTGTTTGTTTGTGTGTGTGTGTGTGTGTGTGTGTGTGTGTGTGTGTGTGTGTGTGTGTGTGTGTGTGTAATTTCGAGTGGGGAACGCGCCGATGGGGAAGGGAAGAGATCACGGGTACAACACAAGGATGTTGATGACTATGATTATGGCAGTGCTGAAGAGCATATCGATCATGATGATCCGCGGGATTCCAAATCAAGAACGCAGGGGGGCCACAGATGAGTTGTGGAAGAATAGAGCGAGCATGAAGATGAAGACGACATGATGATCATGATGACGATGATCAGGATGCAAACCGTGTCGAGGTCATGATGGTGTTCATCGTTTACAAACACATAAACGGGAACCATCATGCAGCTCGCCTTCCCCCCCATCCCCCCATCGACCTGCCCCTCCATGTGGCCGGCCGCTCATCCCCGTCCGCACAGTGAGCGAGCGAGAGAGCTAGAGAGAGAGAGAGAGAGAGAGAGAGAGAGAGAGAGAGAGAGAGAGAGAGAGAGAGAGAGAGAGAGAGACGCCTTCATGTGTTTGTGAATTACTTGAATAAGTCGAGAGTTAGAACCCTTTTTTTTTTTTTTTTTTGTTAGAACCCTTTTGGATACCGGCAAGCCGAAGGCGAACCCTTCCGATACAGAATGACGTCAACGGATGTTGTAACTTTGTTTGAAAGCACCGGCAGTCTAGGGTGTCCATCCTTTGTGATTCTTGATGATTTTTTTTTTTTGTATTCTTGATTTTCTGTAGGTTTTATGATTCCTGTACTCTTTGACGATTTTTCTCTACGCTTGATTATTCTTGCGCTTTTCGACCAATACCTCATGTCAGTTATGGGTGGATTCTATCGACCTCAATGTCGAAAAAAGTACACGACCGGAATCTGCTCAACCTACCATCTGATTCATGCTGCAGTGCAATTTGATCATATCGCATCCTTGGAATGGTCAGGCTCGACTGTTCCCAGTCCATGGCGATGGCCGATCTTCACTGCCTGTCCTCAGTGGCGCGCATGCTCCACGTGGCAGGAGGCAGGACTTGCGAGGTATTCCATGTGGTCCCGGGAAAAGTTTACACGATCGGAAGATCCAAGACAAGCTGTGATCTTGTCTTCGAAGACCGCCGTGTGAGTCGACGGCATTGCCAGATCAAGCTCAACGAGACTGGATACAAATTGTTGCTGCGTGATGGCTATGACTTAGACAACGAGCGCAGTACAACACCTTCTGCCCATGTTCCATGTGGGAAGTCCATGCTCAAGGAACGTGGAAAGATCCCGAGCGTACCTATCTCTTCATTATCCTGCAATGGTGTGTACATAGATGGGACGAAGGTGGTGTCCGGTGTGTGGGCTGAAGTGCAAGACGGAGCAGAGGTGTCCCTTGTGGCGTGCACTAGAGATGGAAAACCCATCGATGGAGCCTTTGGAGAGCCGATTGGGTTCCGTATCGATGTGCAGAAAGACAGACATGACCCCCGTCGTGGTAGTGGTGGTGGTGGTGATGATGGTGGTGGGAGCGGCCCTGTTCCCCGTGCGCATAGCATTTATACTAATGACAGCAACAGAAATGACAGCGATAACAACCATGGTCAAACTCATGGAAATGAACAGGATGCTGACAAAGTCAGTGAGGGAAGGGAAAGTTGTAGAAGGATCGATTGTGATGATGGAGACGGAGGAGGCAATGAGTACTGTGGATTAGTGGAGGTACAAAAAGGTAGCATGGTGGAGGAAGGGGCGGGATGGTCAGGAGGTGTAAAGCAGGAAGGGGAAGGAGAAGCTTGCAGGACTCGAAGCAGAGGGAGGGAGAGTGCAGGAGGAGGAGGAGGTGGTCAAGGAGGAGGAACAGCTGGAGGAGTGGCCAGTTATGGGAAGGAAGCAGAAGACTCAGGGCATGAAGGAGTAGGTAAACTAGCAGGAGGACACAGCTCCACTGAAGCAGCAAGAGCCAAAGGTGATGGAGGTGAAGAACGAAGAGGAGATGCAAGAGTCAACGCCTGTAATAAGTACAAAGATTCAGAAGATGGTGGAGAAAGGGGGGTGGGAGGAGACCAAGTTAAGAGAGAAGAAGACACATGTGTTGAAGTAGCGCTTGCAGAAGATGGTAGGGAAAACAGGGTAGGGAGGGAGGGAGGAGAAGGGAAAGGGGAAGGGGAAGAAGAAGAAGGGCCTGGGGAAGCAGGTACATGTGGTACGCAAGCTCATGGAGAAGGTGGAGTAGGCGAGGAAGGAGGAGCAAGGGGAAGAACAGGGGCAGTATCTGATAGGGAAGCGGAGGGAAGAGGTGGAAGGGATGGAGAGCGAGGAACACTAGGTCGTGGAGTGAAAGGAGGAGGGGAGGGAAAAGAAACAGGTAGGGTAGGAGAAGTAGAAAGGGCAGGAAAATGTATCTATCATAAAGCAGCAGAAGTATATGGAAATTCAATGCTCAAGGGAGCTGGGGGCCGATATGCTGGAAGAAGCGCCAGTGTAGGGGCAGACTTAGGACAAGGACCAGGAGGAAACAAGTGCAGGAGAGGAGTGGAAAGAGTAGGAGGTGGTGGGTGCAAGGTCGAAGGAGGCAAAGGAGAAGAAGAGGAAACGTGTAGTGCAGGAGTAGGCGCTGAAGGTGGAGGGAAGAAGGGGCAAGGACGAAGTGGCGATGGAGATGGAAGCGTTGATCAACGTGAAGGCTTACGCAAAGGGAGCAGTTGGGAGTGGGCAATTCAATCCTCTCTCCCAAAGAAGTTGGAGTTGAGGGTGTCCAGAAAGAGGAAACTTGATGACCAGGTGGCCATGGGACTTGGGGAACAGGAGAGAGCCCCTTGTTCCTGCAGCAATGATGTGCAAGGAGCACTTGCTGGAAACAACTGCCTTGCTGTCTTGACAGCTGGAGCTCATTGGCGTGGATCATGTGCTGGTGCTGTCGAACATACTAATGCCGGTTTTTCTCAAGGGAAATACATTCACGTGATTGAAGTTGGAAGCGGAGGTTATGATGCACACCAGCACGGCAGCGACGATTCAACTTGGACAAAATCGGAGGTGCAGCTGTGGCGTAAGAAGATGCGACTGATGGATGCTGAGAGTTCTGAGGAGTGGATCGGCAGCGATGCCTGGAGGTGGTGCCAGCAAGAAGAATTATGGTACGTTGGGGAGGGGGCGAATCGGGAGAAAGAAGTAGAAGAGAGAGAAGAGGAAAAGGAGGAAGCGGAAGTGGAAGAGAAAGGGAAAGACTCGCAGAGGGATGGCGATGAGGAAGAGCATGCTGTCTGGGAGCTAAAGCTATCAGCGTCTTCTGTGGAGGCTGAACCAGAAGGCCAGTTAGTCACATGGCTGCCTACGGGTAGTGTATGCGCGAGAGGAGAAGAAGCACCATCTTCACCAAAGAAGAAGGTCGGCGATGGTGGCGAGTCACACAGAATTTGTGATGACGAGAACAATGGTGATGACGATGGCGTTGGTGGTCCCAATGGTGGGAGTAGTTCCATAGTTGCGATGCCAGGGGGTGTATACCCAATAATGGGTGGGCATGCCGGCCCTCCTTCTCTTTCTCACTGTCCTTTGGAGTTGCATTTGTCAGGGTCACTAGAGGAATGCCTTGGAGACCACAACAACATAGTTTTTTCCGGTGGTGGCAAAGGTTTTGGGAAGCCTTATAACCTCGACAGAAGCAAAACCGTTGTTTTCACTCGTGAATTGGTCTTTTGTCATGAGCCTGGTAGATCCAATTTGGTCGAAGAATGTGGAGATGGTGGTGGATTGGTTGGGGGTGGTGTTAATGTCGGTTGTGAGGGGGATGAAGCTTGCATTTGTGTTGCCGCGAGGCCCGCGGCGGGTGACAAAAAATCTGGATATGGTAATGAGAGCAGGCAGGGGAATTTTGTCCATTGTCGCGAAGATGTATGTGCTGCAAACTGCCCAATAATGGAAAGTGTTGGCAAGAGCAGCAGTGCATCAGAAGTCTTTGGCTTGACACGCAGCACTGGGCCAGATGGATGCGGTGGTCGGGAGAAGGAGAATGAGGGGAACCCAGGAGACAGAGGTGAAGAGCCTGGTCTTCTGGTTATTGAACAAGACGGAAATGGGAAGGCGAGATGTCAACAAAGAAGCCGGGATGATAGACAACGGAGTCAGCACAATGCAACGTTTTGGGTTGGCCCACAGCCGCATGCTGGAAGAATAATCATGGGTGCATCAAGGGCAGGGGAGGTGAGTCGTGATGACGGTGTCTCAAGCAAAAGGGAGCATGGAGTTCTATCATCGTCTTTCGCTGGCAAGGAGGGAGCTTACTCCGCTGTGCCCTCAGGTACTCGCAGCAGCAGTCCTGCTGTGGCTTGTGTAGCGGAACGAGATAGGGGTGGCAGGGGTGAACGCACTCAATTGAGTGGGGCCGGGTGTAAGATACCAGATGCAAATCTAGGAGGAGAGAAGAGGACGGGGATGGGATCTTCTTCAATTATTAATAAAGATGCTGCTCTTGCTGGTAAGGAAGAAGATGAGGAGGCCAGTGCGAGTGATCCTCAGCAAAACTGTGCAGAATCTGATGAGGTGGCGAGGAGAGCTTGTGAGGGAGAGGAAGAAAGGGGAGGTGAAGGGGGAGGAGCCGAACACGAGTCAGAGGCGCATTCCATGGGATCTTCAGATGAAGGTGCTGCTCTTGCTGGCAAGGCAGAAGGTGAGGAGCCCAGTGCCAGTGATCCTCGGCAAAATTGTGCAGATGAGCTAGAAAGGAGAGCTTGTGAGGGAGAAGAAGAAAGAGGACGTGAAGGAGGAGGAGCTAAACACCAGTCAGAGGCGCATTCCAGCCATGGCGAAAGTCTGCTCGACGAGTGGGGGCGCAATGGCAGGTTATGTCTGAACTTTCTGGACTGTCTCGAGCCTGGGTCGAAGGGAAACGAGGGCTGCGTGTCGCTAGATGACTTGCTCTCGCCGGTTTCCGACCTCAAGGCGATTTTCGCAGCCACCTTTACGCTTGATTTCTGGTGGTTCCTCACTGCGCACGGAATTCCACCCTCCGTCCCTGTCACAATAGCTTGTCATCACAGGGAACACGGCTGGAGTCACGCTGTGGAGGACCGATGGGAGCGCCCGGAGCCATCGATTTGGCCCAATCTTGTGCTTGTGTACCCAGTTTTCCCGGATGTGAACAGGTGGAAGTCATCCAAAGATGGAAGTGGGATGGGTTGTCATCATCCGAAGTTATTTATTATCGAGCGCAGAAATCATGTGCGAGTGATTGTGACCTCTGCCAACTTGAACAGTCGCCAGTGGCAACAGGTGACCAACACAGTGTGGTGGCAGGATTTTCGACGCCGACCTGAGCCAGATCTGCTCTCAATTTTCCCCAGTTCTTTCACTGCTTTTGGGCGGTCTGGTTCAACGTGCAGTATGGTGAACGACTTCAGTGCAGAACTAGCCGCGTTCGTTTCCTCTCTCGTGGCCGATGTGCCATCAGAATCGCATTGGGTTCTCGATTTGATACATTATGACTTCTCGGCAGCTGGAGGTTGGCTGCTCGCTTCGGCTCCGGGCTTGCATTCACCGCATTGCCCTCCTTTTCCGTTGGTGAAAGCACCCCCCGCCGCGAAGCAAGTAAAAGATTGTCAGGGAACTGATCAAGGGATGATGTTGACAGTCCGAGGCAAATATGTTTGTCGTGCTCTTCACAAAGGTGAAGCCGTAGCCGCAGCATCGGTCAGGACCGCAAAGTGTGGAGCCATCGCAGCAGAGGACACGGTGCCAGATAACGTGGATGGATGCAGTGTTGAAGCAGAAGGAAGAGGGGGGATGCAGATGCAGGGTTCACCTCTGGCAGAATGCAGTGCCGCTGTGAACTCGGGGTGTGGAGTCGTGCAGGCACAGGCACAGGCACAGGCACAGGCACAAAATTTGTCTCATTTATCGTTCTCATCGCCTCTTTGGATGGACACACTGGAAGAGAATCGTGACATTGTCAATCTGGGATGCATAGAGGCTTGTTTAGTTGGGTTGCATCATAGATTTTCAGATGCTGCAGATCCAACTGGTTTGCGTCTCCGCTCTCTCATGGAGTGTTCCGGGGGATCTGTCTTTTCTAGAAATTGTGGAAAACACCCACGAAGTTCACAAACAGAATTGGCGGGCGCTTCCTATGCTGGGCATGGGCTGGTGAACGTAAGGCTGTGTCGAATGAGAGGGGTTGCTGCAGATGAGAATGCGGTTGGGGTTGTCATTCCAGCTAAGCCAAACGTTAGGACGCAAGGTACAAAGCGTCCTGAGTTTATGACTGGTGAAAGCCGTCTACGTTTTTTGTTGGCGAGCAAGAACGATCCCGGCTTTGGGAGGAGAGAACAAGAGCAAGACGAGGGCGTGTCGACCGGAGAACAGGGAGGGATCATGTTGGGATTCCTACCGAGAGCTACAGCACAATGGGTAGCACCTCTGTGGGACGCTGGAGTCTGCCGATTCTCAGCTTCCCTTCCTTCAAAGGATTTGCTAGAAGCAGCAGCTGCGCACGGCGAAGGACTTGTCCGGTTATGGCTGTATCCTTTCAGGGGGCCGGCCTTCTGTAAGCTGGGAAAGAAGGCAAATGATGGAGATGCAGATGCCCTGGTGCCTGCTTTGGTGAAGCTTCTTGTGGCGATCAAACGCCCTCTTGGCCTGTGGCGACTGCAGCATATTCTGGCACAGCACAGGTGGCCAGACGAGGCAGAGACAGACTTTGATTTTGGTTCGTCATCGGTCGGAACATCCCTCGATGCAGCCTTCCTTGGGGCATTTTCTGCTGCTGCGGGAAGGCGGTCGTTATATGTCAGCAGCGACGAGGAATCTGATCCTGAGTGGGGATGCTGGACAGCAAAACACGAAGCCAAAAATCCGTCAGTAAAAATTGTGTTCCCAACAATTGAGAGGGTGATTGCGGGGAAGATGGGAGCATCGCCGTCGTCTGGATTGCTGTGCTTTGCGGAGAGCACATGGTCCCGATTGAAGTCCTCGGGCATTTTCCATGATGCTGTGCCCCATCCTGCCGAGCGAGCTGGGATCCCAATGCATATCAAAGTGGGGAGAAGACGTTTTCAGACAAGCCCCTGCTCACAAGCTTTCGGTTGGATGTACTGCGGCTCACATAACTTCAGCCCGGCAGCATGGGGCCGACCAGTGGGAACTGGTCCACTGTCATCGCCAGGCGGTTGGTATGGGCCCCTTAGTGCAGCCGGCAGTATAATGGGCCCTGTTGGCCTTCATATTCACAACTACGAGTTCGGTATCATCTTCATCGAACCACCACCGACACATTCTGTGAAATGGCTCGGATTAAAGGGAGGCTCGGTAAGCCACCGAACGCGCTGTCAAAGAGCAGGTTGGCGAATGGTGGGTGGTCGCAAATATAGGATTCAACCAAACAGAATGGAGCTGAAGATCAGAAAATGTCCAGAGTATGCTGCTGCTGCTGCTGCTGCTGATGATGATGATGATGATGATGACGATGTTTTGCACAACGATGGCAGTCGTGAGGACAACAGAAACTCTACCATGCTCGCGGGTTGCAAAGACACAGGACTGGACCGGTTCGTGGTCCCGTTCAGAATCCCACCGCCACCATATACGAGTGAGGATGAGCCTGCAACACAGAAGAAGCTGCGGATGGCCGTAATTGCTGAGAGAGAAGAGGCTATGCTGCGCATGGTCACCACCTGCGCGAACCCGTCAGATGCAGCAAAGCCAGGTGTAGCCTTTGCTGGGGACCTCATCAGCTCGGACGACGAGAGCCCATCCGAGATGTGCGAAGAACCGGATGAAGAAGAGCTCCTGGCAGAGGGGGGTGGAAGGGCAGTGCACTCTGAGGAGGATGTTCGAGTGGAGATGATGGCATTAACGCAGAAGGAAGATGACGAGTATGCTGCCACCCTATGGACACAGTTGGCGGATGAAGGGTAGAAAGAAGCATTTCCGATTCTCTTGGCCTCTGTTCATTATTTTATTTACTTCTCAAAATAAACTGTCGATTTTAAATTTTAATTCTGTCTATACTATAGGAGGATTCATTAAATTTGCGTCTTCAACATACCTTTCTGGGCCTTCTGGCTGAAAACAGAGCTGTTCCGAGTCTCCTGAGTCCTGACCAATTCAATATCTGATCCATGGGCCATTTTTGTAACGCTAATGTTAACATGGTTGAATCGCACTCGTTCCATCATATGTTGTTCTCGCATAGATTTAATTAGCGATTTTGTCTTGAAGCAGCCACCCTCATAAGGCTCATATGAAAGAAAATCTTTCTTTTGATTTTTATTTATTTATTTATTTATTTTTCGGTCGAGAACTTTGGAAAATTAATTGCATTGGCGATGTTCATTGGAGCAATTGGTTCCAGCAGGTTGGAAATGGTGGCAAGAAGGGGGACACAAGTCTTTGGCTGCTTGGGCCAGAATTCTGTGCCGTCTCATCTTGTTCACGTGAGATCTTTTATCCACATGAGCCTAAAGCTGCACTCTCTCCACATTCATTCCAATCCATCTCAGATCGGCATGAGCTTTGGGGTCTGTGGATCACTGTTGAAGATTCAGTATCCAGTGCTATTTTTTTATGATATTCACACCCTTGTGTGCACAACCCTCAGTACATACCACACGTGGAAATGACAGAATCGGACATACAACAAGCCAGTCTATTTTTCCCTCACAGTTTGTGGAGGACATGATTATAATCCTGGGGAGAGTCTGTGCATCCTGTCCAGCGTCTCAAGTGGGCGAGCATTCAATTACCGTTCTTGGCTTGCACATCCAGATCTGCATATCGCAAGCCAGCATACATTCAGTTTAATGTTTTTGGCAGCATGCGCGTGCCTCGCTCAGTTGGTACAACCCATGAACTGTTGAAGTACAGACAATGTTTTTGGCAGCATGCAGGTGTTATGATTCTGTTTATCTCTCCCTGTGCGGTGTGCCGGGTGTGATACTCCTATCCTCTCCCCTTCCTTCTGTGTATGTATGGGCATATCCGGTTGTCTATGTGAGTGAGTGTTGACCTTTAGGCAACGAACAACCAGAATCATAACACTGTACCACAATTGTTACATCTTCGAGTCACACGGGTCCTACCGGACCCGACTTAGGGCCGGAGGGACACACCAGGGCCTAAAGGCCCGACCTTTGAGGGTCACAGGCCCTAAAGGCCTGATTT